GGGGGGGTCGTACATATTATTGGAAGGAATTCGCGGGTAAGGAAAGAAGTTTTCCTGGTTGTTAGCTTTTTGATGACTTTCGCGGTTTTCCCCGTTTCACATGTGCCATGTACCCCCTTCCCTCTCCCCCTCCCCCTTCCGGGTTCCGCTCGTCAACAAAATTTTGGGGAGAAACTGGGAAAATTTTCTGGGAATCCCGGAGAAACTGGTAGGAAGTTGGAAACGGGGGCTGCGTGACAGAAAAAAGGTGTGGAGGTGCAAACGAACGGCGCTAAGTTGGTTTCGCTTTCATAGGATCAAGCGCTACGAACGTCAAATGGTCTGAGCGGGAGTCGCTAGAGATAGCGCAATCAGACTGAGAGCAAGCCACTTATCATGCGTGAAAACTTGGAATGTGTGAAAAAAAAGTGATCAAAGAACGCTCGCGACTAGGGAGCCTAGAAGAGACGAGGACATTGGGTAGGCTGCAGGACTCCGTTTGTCTGTGCTCTATGCCTGTGCTTTGGTTGGTGGCAAGAATGCGGGGGCTGCATTGTGAGTGGGGAAACAACTTAAGTATCATAAAAAAAAACTCCGAGAATAGATAGGAATCTTAGCGGCAATCGGTTTTTCTCTGAGCGGATAGGTGAAGGGTTAGATCTCCAACTCCACCAAGAAGCTATCTCTCATAAAGATGAAATAAATCGCAGAATTTTGTCCTTCTTTGTGTCTTTTTCTCTTATTTATTGATCTTTGATTCCTTTCCTGATCACCTGGAAAATGGAGGGAACTGTGGTGTCTATTTGAATGGTGAAGAAGTTAAAAATGCTACATCTGTACCATAAATGAGCATTAATGACGATTTTTGAAGGTTCGACAGCAGTCGCTGGCATCTGCCGTCAGCTCGGAGCCATTCATGAATGCCACCTCATCCATGTACATTGAGCAGGTATGCTTTCAGTACGTCTATCTTGGTGAGGCCGCAGGTTCAGCACAGGTCCTTTACCCGTCAAGAGCCAGGGTGTGCTGTGTCATTTGACGTGCTAGTGAAATGGCGTGTCAAATAAGGCACTTAGGACGAGTAAACCTGAATAGTATCTTTGCCACTGACGTCTCAAAACACGTCATTAACGTGTTATTTGACGTCAGCGGTCTTTTATCTGTCTCAACAGGTAAAGTACAGAACCGATACATCAGCACTTAGTAATCTTTTTCAGATGTATTCCGCATGGAAAGCAGACCCGAAGTCAGTTCATGCATCGTGGGACGCATACTTCAGGAATGTTGAAGGCGGTGCTGCTCCTGGTCAAGCCTACCAGGCCCCACCCACTGCGTATGGCGCTGTCGGTGTTCCAGGAGTTTTGCCCCTGATTCCAAGGGGTTCCAGTCGGCGGAGGATTCACCATGTATGCTTCACTTAATCAGTTTATAAGGGTGATCAAAAAATTAAGCCGCGTTCATGCATAGCAAATGTGGGTCCACTTACTCGGGAGAATTGGCGACGGATTAAATGGGGCTCGAGTGATTCCGGGTAGTCGTTCCTTACACGAATGCCTCGTTCTACTCGGGGAGTGGGACCTCAAACGCCGAAAATGGGTAACACTGGGAAGTTCCTCAGCAATGAAAGCTTCACGTGCCTCGAAAATTCCCTGAGACTTTTAAAGAAGTGTTCAAATCATTGCATTAGCGTTACTAGCATAAA